TTTGTTCCCTTAGACAGAAATATTATGGATCTTCCGGAGCCTTCAATCAAACTTATATTACCAAATATTGTTGAAACATTTGTTTTTTCCTTATGCAAATAAGAAAAGTATTTCTGATCGTTGAATATGGCATGAGTTGTTCCACTATCAATAACACAAATATCTTCATGATTTGTCTTTGATCCAAACATAATTTGAGGGTTATCCATATTCTTCAAAATAACATAAATAAAATATATTATAGTAAACATCATTATCAAAGCATAACTTTTATTTATGTACAACAATTACATAACCATACTATCTATTACAAACAACAAAAATTAAAATATTTACATTTCTACAGATTCACTACCGATTACATGACTTGTTTCTCCTTCTGGGAGTGCAAAGTAATCAGCTACATCCAAATGCATGAAGTCTAAATTATCTTCAGAAATAAAATTTGCTTCAGCATTTTTCTCTGTCTTCTTCAGGGAGGCTTGATAAAGCTCAACTAGGTGCTTTGGCGTACGGAAGGTACGTGACTAGTGCTCTTTTCCTCCACATCTATAGCATGCATTTTCTGCATTTGGCGCTTGCACCGCTTCATGCTTTTTTTCCTTCCTTTTCCATTGCTGGTGGTGAGGAGGCTTCTTTGGTGCATTAGTATTACCATGATTGAGGTTTCTTCCCCGACCACGGCCATGACCACGACTGGGGCCACGACCTCTTCCACGTTTAGCTTGGTGGAAGTTCGTCTCATTCACTTCAGGGAATGGACAAGAACCAATAGGTCGACTTTCATGATTTTTCATTAATAGCCCATTATGTTGCTCTGCTATAAGAAGATATGAGATAAGTTCAGAATACTTTTTAAATCCCAGCTCTCGATATTGCTGCTGCAGGAGCATATTCGAAGCATGAAAAGTGGTGAAAGTTTTCTCCAACATATCATGATCAGTAATATTATCACCACATAATTTCAATTGGGAAATAATTCTGAACATAGCAGAATTATACTCACTGATAGATTTAAAATCTTGTAGCCTTAGATGAGTCCAATCATAACGTGCCTGTGGAAGAACGACCATCTTCAGGTGGTCATATCTATCTTTCAAATTATTCCACAGTATGACTGGATCTTTAATAGTGAGATATTCCATTTTCAGGCCCTCATCAAGGTGATGGCGTAGGAATATCATTGCTTTGGCACGGTCTTGGTTTGATGCCTGATTTTTATCCTTGATGGTGTCTGCCAGACCCATCGCATCAAGATGAATTTCAGCATCAAGCACCCAAGACATGTAGCTTTTGCCTGATATATCCAGGGCTACAAATTCAAGTTTAGAAAGATTTGACATTATTTAGGAAAAGAAAGTTCTTACCTCAGATACTTTCAAAATATTTGCTCGAGATGGTAGAGCTTCGTGCTGATAACGTGTTATAAAATAAAGACTATAAAGTAAAGACAAGTATAGAGAGAAACTGATATATTATTCGAATTCAAACTGATGTACATAATGAACTGAAATCTCTTCTATTTATAGAAGAAAGGAAGCTGCTGTGTAAGCTGCTACGCAAGCTACTGTGTAAGCTGCTACTACAAGCTGTTGTGTAAGCTGCTACTACAAGCTACTGTGTAAACTGTTGTGTAAGCTGCTACGCAAGCTGCTGTGTAAGCTGCTAATGCAAGCTGCTGTGTAAGCTGCTACTGCAAGCTGCTGTGTAAGCTGCTACTGCAAGCTGCTGTGTAAGCTGCTACTGCAAGCTGCTGTGTAAGCTGCTACTGCAAGCTGCTGTGTAAGCTGCTACTGCAAGCTGCTGTGTAAGCTGCTACTGCAAGCTGCTGTGTAAGCTGCTACTGCAAGCTGCTGTGTAAGCTGCTACTGCAAGCTGCTGTGTAAGCTGCTACTGCAAGCTGCTGTGTAAGCTGCTACTGCAAGCTGCTGTGTAAGCTGCTACTATACCAGATATGGATAATCTTCTACTGAGAGCAATGTTTATCCATAACGGAGTACTGAATGGATAAGCTTATTATACCCGGTATGGATAATCTTCTACCTAGGGTAATATTTATCCATAACCGGGTACCGAAGTGATAAGCTTCTTCAGGAAGCTTATTTCCAATAGAGTACTAAATGGATTAACATATTTACGGTGGAGTCCCATATGGATAAGCTTCTTCAGGAAGATTTTTTACAATGGAGTACTAAATGAACATCCATAATATAATATATTTATAACACGATGCTTTTTTTCAATTTGTTTCTTCACTTTTCCTGCCAAGTTTGTTTTGGTTGAAAGAAAAAAAATTCTTTCTCCTAACAAGTAAAAAGGGAAGTCCTCAACAGGTACGTGACAATTCAACATTCTTCCACCCTTTACTTTCGATGCTCACAATAAGGACCTTTCGGACGTTACTGTACCACGATTGGTCCCCCTTTATAATAATATTATTATATAGCTTTTAATAAAATTGTATCCTTATTAGCCAAAAAAAAAACCAACATAAGTATTTAACTAAAAACTATATTAATGTTTGACTTTTATGGTATGTGTGGACTAAGGTCTCATACATATATACCAACAAAAGTCATGGTGGAATATTAGGTATTCATTCATTTCTAACCGAATATCTCGTTAAATTTTGAGAGTGAAGTCGTCTTTGGTATGAAGAGCCCCGTGGAACTTCACGGGACGAATCTAAATTAGTGGGATACTGGATGAGAAACAAAAAAAGGTCTCATACATATTCAATAATTCGCTCTCATTAGATTATTGTTATTCTTATTGTGAATTAGATAATGTTTAACTTTAGTGATTAGTAAATCGTGTTCTCTTAGAGTCATACATTTTTTTCCAGTTGAGTATGTAATTAAGCAACACCAGTGAATTCCAGCTTTATTCTTTTTCAATAAGAATTTTGTTTAATATGTTATCCGTTTAAGGAAGGCACGTGTTGATCGAATTTCTATACATTTTTTTATAAAATATTACTTTCATTCAACTACCTTCTTGACATGTATGCGGCAGTAAAGCGGGAGGGCTACAACTTCTTCAAAAGAGGGCAAAAATTTTAAGATGTGAAACATTTGTAATTATAGCCGACACTACTTAAATTCACATCTAATTTACTTCTTGTTGAGATATTAAAAAAAAATGAATTTTTGTCAATGAATACTTGATATATTATAGAATTGCATAATTGAAGTAGTTCAAACATTACCTTTTAAATCTATTTGATAATAATTTTTCAGTATGATTGTGCTTCAATATTGAGATTGTATTTTTTTTCTTCACACACTTAGTATAATATTTTAAAATTACTAATTATCATAGGGTGTCCGAAAACTAGTAAACACAAAAAGAGTGATCCAAGTCGCAAGATAAAAAGAAAACCGGCCGGTCCGGTTTAGTTCTGATAGAGTTGGTTGAGATAAACTTTATTATCTTCAAACAACAAAAACAGAGAAAATTTTACCAAGAATGGTTCTTGAAATGCCCCAAAAAATTCAATCTTGATGCTTCCTAGTTCACTCTCTAATACCAAGTATCACTCAGACAATAGATTAACAAAAAGACCCTTAAAGAAGATAAATAAAAGAAATGCTAATGATACAATCCACCATTTCTCCTCCTGTCCAAAAAACACTACTTGTTCCATCTCAAATTGGCAAACATGGCTGTTATCTTGCTTTACATGGCGGATTTGGCTCACCATCAGTTTCTTTTCACTTTCCAAGAAGACCCATCAAGCGAAATTNGGTGGGGGAGCTGAGGGTGGGGAGTTGGGTTACTACTGTGTTTTCTTGATATAGTTTTACTTGTGATATTTTTTTCTTGATGTTGTCAATAACCTATTACTATAGTTTTTGTTGATTAATTGAGAGAGTGCTGCCAAGAGTTGAAAGCCCCTTAAGATTATGTTTGAATTGGTATGCTGGGAGTCATTCTGCCAAGAGTGTTAGGCTCTTTTTCTGAGAAAGGGGAATAGGAATGAAATAAAATAGAAATAGAAAGAAAAGAATCTAATTGCAAAAGCAAAAAGGGGGACATTTTCGGGAACTTTAACAATACAAATAATAAATTCCATTGAGCTTCTTGTTAAAAAAAAGGTATTGGTTTGAACACAACTAGTAAGCTAGGGGTTGGGATTTTATTTATATTTACACTAATTTAGTCCACATGTGGAAGTTTGTATACTATTTAAAAGAAAATTTGGTCTCATAGTATAGTTTGGTTTAGAGAATGATTAAAAAGTATCGGTAACTGCAAACAGATAATTTCCCTTTTAACTTTTAAGTAGTGGACATTTATTTTAAGATAACCTACAACAGAAAGAAAGATGGAGTATGTTTTATGACATAGGGTATACAACTAAAAAATTCAATTATTATCCTATAATGCAAGAGGTCTTTATCAAAGGAAGAAAAAATGAAAGAGCTCTTGAGTCCAAGAATTTCATTTTGGAAAGGAAGCATAGCTCACACTCTTGAGTCCAAGAACTACTCTAGTATTTCTGGTTGCTCTTTTATGATCAATGAATCTGTCACATGATTCTTTTCCATGCACGGAGCGACTCACAAATTAAGTTCCTTCAAATACATATTAGTAAATTGTTTTGGTGATACATTTGTCTATCTTTTTCACCTCTTTTGAGTATTCCTAAGTCTTGTCTCTCTTGTGTACAGCTGCAGATTTTTGCAAGGAAAGTAGAATCATTCTCACTTTTGGTTCCAGAGAAAGATGATGGTAGTTCTTTTTCTTTTAGAAATGCTCCTTTTTGTCACAGTTTATATGTCATTTTCTATTTGGAACATCAGAAAGTTTTATATATCATTCCACTAATAACATTATCCAATGTAACTTTTACAAGTTTCAAGGATTCAAATTTATTTAACTAGTCACATTTTAACTTTGATTGGATGTTTTCCGTTATATACAGCGAGTATTCTACTTATAGATGACACCAAACTAGTTATATTTCTTCTCTTACTGATTATGTAATACTCAAGCCAAACTAAAGAGAAGAAATATAACCAGTTGATGTCATCTGTAAGTAAAATACTCGTTGTATAGCTAACCCCCTTCCCCCATGCTGATTATGAAAATATGACACATTGGGAAGGAGGGATTATTACATTTTGAAGTGCTAGTTCTAGGTCCCTGCATTGGTATAGTTAAGAGCTGAGAAATGTGAATTTTTGTTCGCATATTTTTCTTTTGCCGCTTTAACGGGTATATTTACATATTTTTATTGTTTTGCCAGTCTCTCAAATGATAGGAAATAATTATCATGTTCCCATAGACTTGCCAAAAAAAAAAAGTTATGATCTTCAATTAGAAACGTATGCAGACATAATAAACTCCAAGCTTGAGAAATATCAAGAGGTGATGAGATAGCAGTTATTGAAAGGATAGAATGATTTAGCATTTACATATTTCTTTTTAAATACAGGAATATATTAGTTTTTTGTAGGTTTACAATGTGATAGCTTCTAATCACCATTTCTTTTTCTTTTCTTTTGTTTCATCCTTTTGTTTTGTTAATTTCCATTTTACATAAGCATAAAAGTATGTATTTTTCAGGAAGTATATAATATAGTTTGAAGGATACTTTTTCCAGAAACAATATCATAATATATGATTACATATTTGACTATGCTGATGTGTTTTGACTGATTTGTTGGTTCTTGATCAAAAGACTGAAATTCCATCCTCATCCTCAGGATGGAAAGCAAACAGAAAATTTCAATCAGCTTCTGTGACCTGTTACGCAAGTCCAAACTTTGGACTTATAAATGTATTCATTACTGTGTATATTGTTGAGTTTAATTTCCAAGGAAACATCAATTTTGTTCTTTTATAAAAAGGGCATCCCGGTGCACGAAGCATCATGCGTTCATGGAGGGCCGCACCCCAAGAATTTGATCTGGGTAGACTCCGCACCCCAAGAATTTGATATAGGTAGTCTACCCAGATGCAAGCATCAGTGGCCGATTCGACGGCTCGAACCCGTGACCTATAGATCAGTCGGGACAAATTTACCCTTGCTCTAAGACCCCCCTTCATCAGCTTATTCTTCCATGAACAAATAAATTAAATCATTCCAACAGAAGTTCAAAACTTCAGTAATTTCCTGTTTTGTTTCTAGTTCTTTATACAGAAACAGAGGAAGATTGCATAATCTACTTGCTGTGTACAATAAATATGAGACAATAGTGCTTTGTCACAGAGATTTTGCATGAACTAAAAGGAACCATCATTGGCTTTCCGTTGCAGAATCATCAGAGAAGTTGCTGAATGGTGGAGATATTACTACTAGTAAAGGACAGGTTCTTTCTCTATCTGCTTTCTCATGTGGATATATCTTCTGGTTGACATCCGGGCAAGTGGCATCAGCAAGTGAAAGTGTCAGAGTAAACATGGTTTATGAGGTCGGAGAGTTATTCGAATTGGGAATCCAACTTACCTACCTGCTTATACTACTAGCATTGCTTGGGGCTGGAAGCTTCTTTGTGATTCGGCAAGTCCTTGTCCGCAGAGAGCTTGATCTTTCTGCCAAAGAATTGCAAGTACGCGACACAATAACTTTTCTCTTTGTTTATAAATGCGTCGCCATTCATTTGAAGCATACATATTATGCATCTGTATGGTTTGGATCTACAAAAGCAACTATATATATATATATAGAACCGGTTGCTAGAGAATCTGAACACCATTGTATTCTCCTGAAGGCAGAGCAGGAGAATAATACTTTAAAAGAGAAATGATTGTGATTCAATCTCGACTTGTTAGATATCAATATGAATTATAGCCTGTTTGGCCAAGCTTCTTCAAACCTAGAAGCACCTTTTTTTCCAGAAAAAGGTCTTCTTTTTTTCAAAGTTGAAGTGTTTGGCCAAGCTTTTGGAAGAAAAAGAAGTGTTTTTGAGGAGAAGCAGAAAAAAGTAGCTTCTCCCCAAAAGCATTTTTTTTAAAAGCACATTTGAGAAAATACACTTAGAAGCACTTTTTAAAAGCTTGACCAACACTAATTGTTGCTCAAAACTGTTTTTCAAATTAATTAGCCAAACACAAACTGCTTCTTACCAAAAGTAATTTTGCAAAAAAGCACTTCTCGAAATAAGTTGATTTTAGAAGCTTGGCCAAACAAGTTATTATTCTATTTGTTTCCTACGGACAAAAGCTTACTTTTAACGGACAATTTGGTATCATGTGCGTAGACATCTATATCACTTGCAAGAACGACTTGCTTGTTTGCTCATAGATGTGAGAATGCAACTCTCTTTCTCTCTCTCTGAACACACTGTATTATTTGACTCATTAACACAGGAGCAAGTTAGAAGCGGTGATGCCAGTGCAACAGAACTTTTTGAACTTGGAGCTGTGATGTTGAGGCGAAAATTCTACCCAGCTGCTACAAAGTACCTGCTTCAGGCAGTACAAAAGTGGGATGGAGATGATCAGGATCTTGCCCAAGTATGAACTATCTCTTCTAACAGTTTCTTTTTCTTTTTTTAATTTTAGATAAATGATAAAGGACCTTCTCTACGCCAATTGCTATTTCGCATAATAAATTCCTGATACATTGTAAATATTCTATGTGAATTGACCTAAAAATATACTGCCGTTTTAACTCAAAACAAGTGAATGCACATTTATCCTGCTGAACATGTGAAGAATCTCTTTTACCCTGAATCACATAACTTACGCTATAAAATGTATAAGTTCAAAAGCCATGTAAAAACTGCTCAAATTCTCAGCTAACAAATTATTGGACCGTTTTAGAATTATTGCTTGCCTATGCTGTACTTGCTGTTGCATACCAAGTCTTTTCAGGCATCTGAGTGTTGTATTCAGATCCCTTCCCTTATATTTTGCGCATCTTGACAGGTTTACAATGCCCTTGGTGTCAGTTATGTTCTTGATGAGAAAATCGACAAAGGAATTGCTCAGTTTGAGAATGCTGTAAAACTTCAACCAGGTTATGTCACGGCATGGAACAACCTTGGCGATGCGTACGAGAAAACAAAAGACTTAACATCCGCTCTAAGAGCATTTGAAGAGGTCCTCCTTTTTGATCCTAATAATAAAATAGCTCGTCCTAGGCGCGATGCATTGAAGGATAAAGTACAGATGTACAAAGGAGTACCTGTGAAATCTAAGAAGAGTTGATATGGGGAGCTTCTTGTTGTTTTTACACACTTATACTGACTATCCTTGGAGGAGCTTGCCTCCCCCCCCCCCCC